GCTGATCTTGCCCCCCAGTCCTGATCAAAACGTGACCTCAGCCCCTCGCTGGCCCGCCTAGTCCGCACAGACGCGCCCGCACACTCCTCGTCGCATCTACATGATGAGCAGTAGCAAGCCCACGCCCCCGCGGCGCAATAAAAAGGGCAAGAAATACCTCACGGATGGTAGCTCATCCGAACCAGAGTCCAATCCCAGCAGCACGGCCACATCTCCGCGCTCTCTCCGAAAATTGGTTCGAGGCACCACCACAGACCTGCGCAACACGGCCAGCCCCAAGAGCAGCCCCCTCCTCAAACGCTTCAACCTCTTTTCCAACCGGAAAAAGTGCGGCCCGCACCATCCCAACTCCCGTTTTCACCCTCGTCTCGCCATCCCGCCCTCCCAATGCAACACGCCACCCTAATAATGCCCGTCGCTCCCGCTGCTTTAGAAAAGCTCCTGCTGCGCCGGGAACTAGCGAGCGCCCACCCTCGCGCTGGCGCCGGGCCAACAATAGCAACACTTCGATTAAACCGCCCCCCGAACCCCCAAAGGTTGGTGGTCCACCCTGTTGTTGACACGCGAAGATTGCATCACATGACCAAAACCGCGGTGTTTCGGCGCACTAGCGCGCAAACAGATTTGGACATCAACAAAAGCAACAACCCCAGTGCCACCCCCCCACCTTTCTCAGCCAACAAAACCGCGCTCTCCCTCACTTGCCCGCTTGCTCCGCGCCGCCGCAGACCCACGACTTTGAGCCCCACGATGTCAAGCTCCCAACTTGGTGTGACTATTGCGATGACCTCGTTTGGGGCCTGTTCCGCCCTTGCGTCCAATGCAGCGTGTGCGGCTACACGGCCCACGGAACTTGCGTCGAACACGTCGACCTTCAATGCCACTCGCAATCCTCCCCAGCACAATCCTCGGCCGGGTCCTCCTCGGCCAGCGCCCCTGGCGTGTTGACGCCGCAAGGCAGCGCTAATACCCTCACAGAAGCAGAACAGCCTTGCCCCACCACAACCCCCACCAACACTGGCCCTGCTGTTCGGAACCCCCACATTAGTCGCCTCGAGCGTAGCATTGCCTCCGTTTCCTCCATCAGCTCCATCCTCAGCTCGCAAGACGAAGGTACCACCACCGAGCAGCAACGCGCGCACCCCAAAGCCTCGCAGCCCGACGTACAGGTGGGCGGCCATGGCCTCCTCTCCTATCTCTCCGCCGCTGACATCCGTGCCAAAATCAACGAATTCAACGCCACCGCCACCGATGAACAGCTAGAGCTTCTGGTACGACCCCTGCCGTCGTCATCATCTCTCCGTGACCTTGCCCAACCCCTCCCCGGCTTCTCCCCTTGCTCTTCCACTGCTCATTCAGTCCGCAACCCTGCTGGTACGCAGGATGAAGTGGGTGATGACAAGAGCTTCAAGGGTTATATTCGCGTTACCCTCAACCTGACCCGCCCCATTCGTGTCTCGCGCGGAGACTTGAGCATCAGCATCTCACCCGAGAACACGGACACAACGGGCAGCCCCGAAGCCAGTCTACCCTCCCCCGGAATAGGCCCGTCCCGCTTCTTTCGAACCGGTTCTGGCGGGGGCAGTGGCCCTTACACCCCGTCGAGCGCCGCCTTTGACGCCGATACCTCCTTCTTCTTGCCCAAAGAGGTTTCCAAGGGTCTGCATGTCACGAGTGCCACCACCTCGCAAGAAGTCATTTCAATCCTGCTCCGCAAGTTCAAGGTCGTCAGCAACCCTCGAAAGTTTGCCCTCTACGAAATGAACCTTCTCACCGGAGGTGGGTGCTGCCGCTTTTGCCATTCCGCGTTGACTCGTGTCTTTCGCTCGCTGCCGTATACGATGACCTGCCTCGCCTTGCTCCGCTCCACCACCATTGGAACCGGCTCTGTGCAGAAAAACGTCGTCTCCGACGATTCGAAGAACCCTTGGCCCTCAAACTCCTTTGGGGCGGCAAGAACCGCGATCTCATCCTCTCGCTCGAAGAGTACAACAAAGACCAACATTTTCGCTGGGAGGAGTTTACCGACACGGAGCTGCACAACTTTTTGCGGATCCTTGAAGAGGAAGAGCAGGCTGCCGTCTGCGTCGTACGTCGCACCCGCGCACCCTGGTTGCAAACCGACCTGCGCTGCCCACTCTGAACTTGCTTGCCCTTCTCACTCGTGTCTCGCTGGTCGCCTCGTACCGCGACCCCAATGAGCAGGTGACGGCCAGCTACGATAAGCGCCGTGCCGAGTTACAACGCCAAATCAGCATGTTACAAGGGCCTGCCCCACCTCTTTCATCCTAACGCCCCTCGTCGCTTCCTGCGTCTCTTTTACAGTGGCTCCTATCCTAAAATCGATTTTATTCACAGTCAACCAACGATAGTCAACCTACGACGAGTCATTTCCAGCATGGCATGTCCAATCCTGCGCCTGCGCCGCAATCTGATCACATCCCCATGATTGCAGCGCTTCTTTTCGCATGGCAAGCTTCAAAAACATCCCAGATAGAGGTGTTCGCATGATAGCAACAATGCTCTCCGCTCGGGTGGCCTGCTGGTGCAGCGCATGACGCTTTTTCCACACACATACACACACACACACACACACACACACACACACACACACACACACACACACACACACACACACACACACACACACACACACACACACACACACACACACACACACACACACACACACACACACACACACACACACACACACACACAGAGAGAGAGCACGCGGGCGCGGGCGCGGACAACTTTGCTCCGATTTGATTTTTGATAGTTTTTAAATTTTTTGAACAATCAATTTCTGCTATGTGATGCTACTGTACACAATCCGCGCTGGGTTTTTGAGTTCATGTGTGCTGCCTGCTGTTGTCGCCTCGACTATTAGCTTAAGACCGAGTGTTTTGGCGGCGACGTGCCTGGGTATCAGCTCAAATTTGATAGACGTGAACCAAGAAGTCATAAATCACATCTCTCATCCAAAAATTTTCAAGGGTGTGGAGTGGCGGACAAGGATAAAGAATATACAAGAAAACCCGGTCGAGATGGCGACGAGCCGCGGTTGGGGTTCAAGTCCCAAGACTATGGCTTTGAGACAGAGGCCAATTGTGCCAAGGCATCCCAGGCGTCGCTTTCCGCTTCCACTTGGGCTGCGTCGGCCTGCAGTCGCGCTTGGTCAGCCAAGTCCAGCGCCGTATGATCCAGACTGGATGCTACGGGCTGGGCGTCCACGTATAAGCCGCTGCTGCGATCCACCCCCTCATACGTGGGGTTGTTCCGGGCACTCCGAGGAACCGGTTTGACATCGAGATAGCCCGGTGCCCCCTGTGGACCGGGCTTCACATCCAGATAGCCCGTTGCTTGACTTCGCGGCTGTACATCGAAATACGCTCGCTGCCACCGGCGCTGCTAGTGCCGCGTCGCTGACAGCATCCAAATCAAGCACATCCAGGTCCTCTCCGTCACCGCTGGTCGTTCCTCGCCGTGACACATCAGCGACTCGAACGGCACCCAGCATATCTGAAAATGTCACGACCTCAGGCAATGGCACAATCTCAAGGAGGTGGGGCGACTCTCGCCCCTTATACGTCGGCAAAACCGCCGTCCGTATTTTCTGTGCTAGCTCTTGCGCCTACACCACACATCACAGCAAACTTCAAAGTAAGAGAGCACAGCCAAGCCAAGATCGACCAGGCAAGTCATCGATTCGCGCGTCCAAGCATGCCAGTCGACAACAGGCGGTGTCGCGTATACCTTTGAAGCGCTGACGGCTTGAATCACAAGGCAAGTGAATCCCGTATCGCTGCACAGGTCAGTCTCCCGCCTGGCTATCACGGCCACGTCATCATTGCGAAAATGTACGCCCACCACGGTGCGAAGATCCATGGTATCCACCTACCCAGCATACAAACGAATTCAGAGGCGCTTCGTGAGCGGGATCCACACCGGTTCCTTCGGGGTGTGTGTTTTTGGTTTCATTCCACATGTCAATCCTTTCCAAGCCTAGCCAGAATGCCCGCTTCTGGCCTGCGTCACATGAATGCAAACCTCATGAAAGTCATTGGCATTCTTGAGAACGAGCCGCCCCTGCGGTACGATCATGCAGTAGACGGGCTCCAAATCGAGATATTTGCCCTGGTAACAAGCTGCACGGAGCTGGTCCATGGCGTTTTCGATGAGATGCCGACCCAGAGAATGAAGGTCAACGTCTAGCCATCGGCCAATAAGCGCAGACCGCATAAGCAGGCGAGGTGATGAGATAAAATCAGGCGCCAACCTTCTCAGTACGTGTCAGGTTTGATTCAAACTCACCGTCCACGAATGCGCGCCCCAGGTGGTACGCCGTGACACTGGTGTCCAAATCCTCGTGGAAGTGGTCACGTGAACGCTCAGGTTGGTCCAGGTCCCATACGGCCTCATCATTGTGGGGCACTTGCATGTGTGTGGCGGTGGCTTCCTCAAAACTGGGTGGAGTGTGATATGCCGGCAAAGCCTCTTGACTCGGTCGCCGTTGCTCCGGCTGAGCTGTGGCACAAGGTGCGGCTACTTCAGTTGGATCCTCGGGCATAGCGTCTGCCCAGTTCTCCGTCTGATGGGCCACGTTGACAGCGTGCTTGGCAACGGCTTGCTGCAGCTGCAGGGCTGACTCGGGGCTCTGGCATTGCAGATGATGGACCTCCAGCAAGTCGGGCATGTTTTCATCCTGCTGACTAAGCGCCAGCAAGGTTCCCCGAGCTTGACAATCAAAAACCAACGCCGGGTTCAGGCGCCAATCCTGGGTTGGTCAGCCAAGCATGCCCAGGAACAAAGTGAGATGGGCGCGATTAGAAGATACTTGGCAAATCAGTCACCCCTGGGGCATTCGCGCCCGCGGATACATAAACGAACATACCGGCTGTGACGTGTCTGTTGGCTGCAGCAGGAAGCGAGATGGTCCGATCCGGACTACCAGCTCCAAGTTGGTTCTGCCTGGATGGGGCAAAGCAAACACGTCTTCGCCCTCAAAGTGGCTGTCTATCGCGTCTACGCAAGGACCCATAGTTATGAAGGTGAGCGAGCGTGCCTCAAAAACCCCCGAAACACGTCTACAACATAAAACTGCATTTCAGATGGCTTACCGATGAGAAGATGACGCGCACTAAAGACCGTATCATTGCTTTCCAGCAGTTGCACCTCGGTATACACTGTCTCTGCTCGGGCCACGGGGGTCCCAAAATCGAACGTAGACGGTCCCATGTCTCGCAGAACGGCGTAGTGTGACGCGTCGGTGTCCTTTGCCGAAGGTGGCGCATCAGTCAAAACCGTCTGGGTTTCCAGGCGGTCAGACTGGGAGCTGGACAGCATCACAGCCGGCTCGTCGAGGGACAGCGTATTGATGCGGAGTCGGTGGGTGGCGTTATTCAGAGCACTCGACAGCTTCAAGATGCCTCGCCGCACCTCGTCGTCCGACGCATGTCCCCAGGCAGATGAATTGGCAGCCGCCGCCTCCGCTTGCGAGAAGGTCGTCTCCACATTTTGATGCACTTCCACAGGTGGCACAATCGTGCTGAAGGTGGTGATGGTGCTCAAGCCGCGCGAGTTGAGCAGGTCGTCAGCCTCATCCGTCTCAGCCACTGGGTTGTCCCTGTCCACCGGGCTGCCAAAGGTCGAGCGCAGCGAAATTGTGGGCAAGCGATGCACCTCCGCACTATAACACCCATGCACCAACACCAAATGAGTATGCTATCTGTGTATCCATATGATACGAATGTCTTTCAACAGCGACAACAACAACAGCAACAACAACAACAACAGCAACAACGACACAGACAACAAAAAACTCGTCATGATGCACTGATTACGCCGCCCCAGCCAGGAAGGGCAGGCGGGCCCACAAGCAGTACAAATAAAGCGGCACAAGATGCCCACACGAAAGCATACGAAAGGACCGAGAACCTACTAGTCGGTCGTCGCGATGGTAGCCTTGCGCCGGCGACGCTTTCGATAGACGACCAGCGCAACACAGAGCACGAGAACCGCACTGGCAACCGCCAGGATGATGGCCAGCATCTGTTTACTGGCGCCACTGTCAGCCTGACTGTTTCCCTGCCTTGCACCCACGGTGGTGCTTGCCTGCATTGTGGTCGGTGCCGGGGTTGTGGATGACGGTTTGAAAGCCGTCTGGGTCTCGCCTAGAACTTCCAATTGAAGGGCCCCGGCTTCAACGTAGATGTCAAAAAGGTCCGCCGTGCGTTTCCGTGAAAAGCTTAGCAAGACCCCGATGCTTCCAGCAAAAAAGTGCACGCTATAAACGTCATGGCCGGGCACGTAGTCAAAGTCACCTTCACGCAAAAGCTGGTCCAATTGCGCCCTCATGCCCGCCAGGGCAGAAGCGTTGCGCGCCAGCGCGGCATAATCACCCGCCAATAAGAAGCTGACATTATACTCGCGAGGTTGCAAAGCACACGCCTCGCGCAAAGCCTGGCCAGTGTACGTAGCCAGCGGGCGAAACTCCACTGAAACTCCACTAAAGTTGGTTCGAGCCAGTGCCACCGCTTTGAGAGGTGAAAAGCAAACCGTCGTGCACGCGCTCGCGGGGTAAGGCGCCAGACACTGTGCCTCGCAATGATCGCGAATGCCAACCATGATGCGCTTCTGGTTGTATCGAGTCTCATCATCCACAAACACGGCCTGCACCAACCCGAGGCCAATGGTTCCGAGGCTTTGAACGGCGTCGACCTCCACGGTGAAGGACGACACAAAGTTGCGGCCGTTGGCGCTGTCAGCCCGCAAGTATACGGCCCCATCCGTCGCCACTCGAACCGTCTCTGAGCTCGCGCCCTCATGGCTGGCATTCTCGGCATCTGGCGCGATAAGACCAGCCTCGCCGAGTACGAGGTGGTGCAATTCAAAGTCACCGTTGAGCGGCAGTGCCAAGTTACCCGCGGCTAGGGCTGTGCTGGCAATCGTGAATTCGCAACGCAACTGGTCAGCACTTAGTTGGCCGCCCACAATCTCGGGCACAGTCACAAATTGTTGTGCGCCCACCACCACATCGATCATCATGGAAACATCATTCTCGTCGAGCACCGGCACGAGATCCAATTCAAGCCGCAAAGCTTCCTCGGCTGTCATCAAGGTGGCTGGATCCACCTGCTGCTGCAAAGCCATGGCAAGCCGCGTAACCGCAGCCCCGGCATCGTTGACATTAAAGCACCCATCTTGATTGAAGTCGCCCAAAAGGTGCGCGTCCGGATCCCCACACGAAGAACGTGCAGCGCGACCTAGGTCTACCAGAGGTTTCGACCGGCGTCGACGACTGTCGTTTGCTGCAGCATTGATTTGCACGATCATTGTGGCTGCGATGGAGTCTCGGTTGTTGTAGGTGCCAATCGGCTCCTGGGCTGTGCTCCCATCCGAGGTCGCCAGCGTAAATAGCGTGACCACGCGTGCCACGACATCAAGCAG